AAAAAAAAAAAGAAAAGATCTCTTTGGTCTAAGTTTTTACACAGTGTGTTTGGGCTTAGTTTATCAAAAGTAGGATTTACACTATATGAACTGGCTACTGGGGTTTGATAACCCCTGTTTATATCTTAGTATGAAGCACACCCCCCCCAAAAATTAATCATACCTTAGCACAGCGTCTCTCAACCTCAGCGACTTTAAGATGTGTGGACTTCAACTCCCAGAATTCCCCAGCCAGCAGTAATTTACTTACCCACTTGGTGTCTGGGAGTTGAAGTCCACACGTCTTAATAAGGTTGAGAAACACTGCCTTAGCGCAATGTGGGAGCACAATGTACAGTATGTGTGTGACATGTATCCTCCACGCATCTTCCACACTGGCGCATCCTCCATGCTGGTCAGAAACCGCAATAAAATTTACTTACCCACTTGGCGCATCCATCTGAGCCCCACCCATAATCTTACCCCATTGTGCTGGTTCCGCTCAGCTCTTCTCTATCTACACCAAAGTTAACTGATCATGTAACATGCTAAGGCTACAAATTTGGACGGTTAACCAAATTTATTGAATTTTATGAATGACCACTAGGTGGCCGCAAAGACGTGCAGAAAATGTTGAGCTCTTTCCTGCCAGCTGGTGGTCGTGCAGAGTATTGCGGCTCGAACATGGTTATCTTTGCTAAGCTAAAGCAAACCAACTGCGTTAGGTCGTAAAATAAGGGTCTGGTTCACACACTCGACCAAGACAGCAGGCGGTTGGCATCCAAGTTCCCTTCTCCAAATAAGACTGAAACATCCAGTTGAGAATCACTAGGCCTTCTGAAGAGTGAAAAAGGGCATTGTTGGGAACAGAGCAAACGAAGGACTTCTTCGTTGGCTATCCCAGACGACGGGCAACGTGGTGGAGATTTCTCGCCTGTTCGGTCCACCTCCTATTTGCTCCTCTGACATCCTCCCGCGGCTGCAAACGCGCTTCCCGATTCCTCCTCGGCTCCACCGTGTGGTTTTTAAAGACACAAAGTGTCCTTTTATCGCGCTGATCAATTCAGAAAGGGGCGACTAGTAAGCCGAGAATATTTGGATAAACTTGTCAGCCCTCGAAAGCCAAGAAAAGATCTTTTGTCCATCCCAAGTGGGAGGGGAGAGCAGTGGAGTGAAAAAGGGGGGGGGGCGCTGGGGAGACACCCATTAGCCTGCCATGGGGTTGCTGGATCGGATCCAATAAAAACTCTGCTTGGCATGGGGCGAAAAAAGAAAGGAGATGGAGGGTGTCTAATGAAGAATCTTTTCCTTGAGGGCTTAAGTGTTTTTGATTTATTTATTAGAATGCAGTCCTGACATCCTTCTGTATACTTGAATTCCGTGTGGCAAAAGACCTTCTAAAGAACATTGTGGCTTGACAAAGGGGACTTTGTGTTAAATAAGTGAGTGGAGAGCTCCTCCGATGGAAACAGGGCTACCTGACAGTCAATTGAAGCCAGCCTGCCATGCAAATTTACTTTCCCCAGCCTAACAAGGCCTTCAGGTTTTTCTTTTCACGTTTTTTAGAAAAATTATCCCCTGGCCAGTGTCCAATACCTGAGGCCAATTAGGACCAAAGATGAAGGAAAGATCTCAGCCAAACTATGGATCCATGTCGCCAGCATCAGCTGCACCAGTTTCCACCAGTCTGGTCTTCCCCACCAAGAGGGCATGGATTGCCCCAGGAAACTGAGGAAGGGGCAGGGTTGAAGCTTGAAGAGTGATAGAGAGATGGAATACCTCTTTATTTCAAAGGGGTTTAAATTTGTAGG